TAGGTGCTGAGTGTGTGGTATGGGTACAGGTGTTGTGAAAACAGAGGAGTAGAGAAGACAGAATTACACATGTGCAATTGTAATAAACACAGCCTGTATGATACATAAGATAATAGAGAAAAGTTAAGTATTAGATGGGAAAGAGCAAATAAAAGTTTAAATCCAGTTTTTGCCACTTGCTAGGTATAAGATTAGATCAATGAAATGTTCAACAGAAAACATTTAGTTGAATATGAAGTCTGTGAAAGGACTACTTTGAGAGATATTAAGTCGAGGATGGTGGTGCATGCCTATAATTCCAACACTTGGGAGACAGAGGCAGGAGGATTGCTGCAAGTTTGAGACCAGCAAGGGCTATATAGTGAGTTCAAGTTCAGCCTGAATTACCTTGTGAGACTTCATCTCAATAAAAGAAGAAAAGACAGAGATTAAGGAGAGTGGTGGTTGTGTGGTGACACATCCAGGTACTAGCAATAATGGAAACTGATAATGTCCCTCAGACTAGAAGGACCAGGGTAGGAAATGGTGTTACCAGATCTCAGTGAGAACTGGCATCCTGGAACTGGGAATTGGGGGTGGGCAGGTGAGTTCGCCTGATATGAAATATAGTTACTACCACATCAAGGCAAGGCCCTACCTCTGGAAGAGAGAAAGTAAAAATACTACCCTGAGTTCATTCTTGGGCTTTCTCATGTTTTGTTGTCTCTTATAAGCTGAACCCTCTGAGAAGCCAAGCTACCAGGGCACCCACAGAGCAAGGCCTGTGAGTGAAGGGGGCAGAGAATAACCTTAAACAAGTCAGGTGCCCTCTCCAAATTTCGGCCCACTTATTGGGATAGTGCTTACCATACTAATAACTGACTTTATAACTTTTACTTCCAACCTTTTACTTTGAAAACTTCAAAACTTGCAAATAATTTTTAACAATAGTACATATAGTACATATTTTAACAATAGTATATATTCTTTGCCTACATTCACAAATTGTTAACATTTTGCCACTGTTGTTTTATTCTTTTGCTACCAACACATTCACATATATTTTTGCTGAACCATTTGTGAGTTACTTGATGATATCCCAGTACTTAGACCCTGAATACTTAGGCATCAGCTAAAAACAAGGGTGCTTTTCTGCAGAATACAATGGCCAGACTCAGGAAACTTAACACTAGGAGCTATTAGTGAATATACTTCATTGTCAGCTTTTCTCTAGTGTCTCAATAATGTGTGCAATGGAGGATCACACACTGAATCATCGTATCTCTATTTGTCCTTAATCTAGAATGGTTTCCCAAGCTTTTCCTTTTATAATCTTTCTCGACATTTATATTTTTATGAAGGAATGTAGTTCCATGTTAGGAGTTTTGCAGAACATGAATTTGCCTGGTTATTTCTTCATTATTAGATTCAATTATAGCAATTTTGACAATGAGGCTGTAGAGGCATTGTGTTCTTCTCAGTGCATTATATCTGGGGGCAGATGATATCAGAATGTTCCCTCATAGGTGATCTTCAGCTGGGTCATTTGATTGAGGCAATAGCTACTAGATTTATCAATTATCTTATCTCCTTTGTAATTATTCTGTAATCTAATAAGTAACATATGCTAATAAACATCTTTTTTTAAACCAGCATTCATTTATCAAGTAGTTGTTATTTTTTTTTCAGTACCGGGGATTGAACTCAGGACCTTGAGCTTGCAAGGCAGGCACATTGCCACTGAGCTAAATCCCTGGCCCTAATCAAGTAGTTTTTACAACCATTACATTTTCTTGCTATGACAAAAATAGTTTCATAAAAGCATAATTAGGGAACTTGCTAAGATTTCTTTGAATCTCTCATCTCTTTTTTTATTAAACTATTTTCGGGCTGGGGATTTAGCTCAGTGGTGCCATACCTGCCTCTCACATGCAAGGTCCTGAGTTTGATCCCTGGTACCAGAAAAAAAAAAACTAAACTGTTCTCATTCATTTATCTATTCATTTAGCAAATGTTTACAGAATATTAATTTCATGCCTTGGCCTGTGAAATTTTTATCAGTATTTGCATGGATGCCTAAGCCATGATCTTTAGATGTCTCTTTCTTTGCTTCAATAAATTGCAGCACTGTCTTCTCATTGATTGTACAAAAATAAATAAATAAAACTTGAAAGTACTCATATGTTGAGTGGCCAGTCATCATAAGAGGCCTCTTACAAATCTGAGAATTATCTTATCTAATCCTTGCCATGGCCTTAAGAAGTAGATGCCATCATCTGAAGGCCTTTGGGCTCTCAGGAACAAGGCAACAGCTAGCTATTCCTCATGTTTGGATTCAAATCCAGCTCTCTTTGACTTCAAATATTTAAAGTAGTGATTAAGAGTATCACAGACTTCAAATCTTGGCTCTATCACTACTACAGGGAATTGTACAAGTCACCTTAGCTTTCAGTGTCTTGATTTCCTTCTTTTATAAGATGGGGAATATTATGGCTTCTATCTTGTATGGTTGTTACGAGACTTGAATAAAAGAAAGTTTGACAAATGTTTGAACAGTTCTTCACAGCAACACAGTATCTTTCAAGCTGTAAATCTGGTGTCATCCTAAACACCACCCTCCACTACTGATTATGGATTAGTTTCTGAGGGATGTTGTCTCCATGGCTTTCATTACCTTAGTTTAGATCAGAGGTTGATAAACTATGGTCCACTGGTCAAATCCAGTCTCCATCTGATTTTGCAAATAAAGTTTTATTAGAAAGCAGCCATACCATTTGTTTAAATGTAATCTATGGCTTCTTTAACCCTCAAATGACAGGGCTGAGTAGTGGAAACAGACACCATATGGTCTGCAAATCAGTATTTACTATCTGGACCTTATAGTAAACAATTTCCAACTCCTAGTATCCAGGGTGTTGGAATAGTCTCAGTCCCATTTTTCCTGGTCATGTCTTATCCCTTCTGAATCTGTCCTCCCTAGCCTCCTTCCTGTGGAGGGAAATATTTCCCTAAATTTGAACTCTATTGTACCAGTTTGTTTTTCGTGGTTCCTTAGCCCTCACTGCTAAGGTTGTCAGCCTCCATGTGTGTGCTGGTCATGTCTTCTGCTGTAACAAGCTGCAAAAGACTGTTTCAACCTTGGCACCTGCTGATCTTTAGGTCTTGTCCTCAGCACCCACCCTTGTCCTCGGCAAAGAGCTCAGGTTTTCCTTCCCCTGAGAACCTCTTTCTGATGTCCATAGGCTACACTGATCGCCTCTGCTCTTCTATGGCTTGTGCAATATCTCTAGTCTCCTATTTATCTCTCTCTACCATGATCATGGGTTTAGCTGCCTGCCCTGGACACAGTGTGGGCTCCTTCTAAATTTGAACAGATATATTTTTTTCACTTTTGAAATCTCTAGTGCTATTCTGAGACCTTGTTCTTAGTCTGTTCCCATTAGATTGTCATTGCCTGTTGTTATTAGAGCTGGGGTGTTAAGGCTTCTATGATGTTCTAAGGGAACAGAGAAAAGAAGAAAGTCCAGAGAGGCTTCCTGGAAGAGGAAATAGCTTAGCTAAGACCTAGAGGATGAGAAAGAAGTGCAAATGAGCTAATGGGGGAAAAGGAAGCTTGGGTAAGATGATGGAGCCTGAAAGATACAAGTTGGGATAATGGCAAGCTGAGGGTAGGGCATGTATGGGGTGCTGGAGGGTGGGCTGAAAAGGGAAGTATTAGGTCCCTGTTTTGCAAAATCTACTCTGCTGAGGGGAATAGACAACAGAAAGCCACAGAAGCCTAGGGAAGCCATGTGCCATGCTCCATGCTCAATTGCCTGTCCTCATGTTGCTTTGCCGGAGGCCTCTTAGGCATGCACTAGGCTTTTGTCTTCCTAAGTGCAGACAATTCCTGGCAGGCTATAGGTTCCCTACAAATGTTACTTTCATCATGGGAATGTATAAACACTGCCCAGATTTAAGGGTGGTGGGAGTCTTTGATGTTTAGCGTTTTATGGTATGCATTATAAATATTTGATATATTTAGAATTCCAAATATTTAATATAAATGAATATAGAATACTTATTCTAAATTCTAAATATTCTATATAATTTAGAATTCTAAATAATAATACTTATTAGGTGAGCTTTTGTCCTGTCTATGGCTTTTAGAAATCTAAGAACTCTGATCATACTTATTCTTAGTTTTTGGATTTTATGCTTAAAAATATTCCTATTAAAAAAAATTTATCCTTTTATAGAAGTTTTAATCTCTTGGGTAATTTTGGTTGATGTTTTCTAGATCTTCTCCAACTCAGTTTTGTTTTTGTTAAGGCTTTGAAGAGCATGTGTGTTCTTTTCGAATCTGCAAAACCAGAGGCAGTTTTTCCTGGCTCTTTTTTTGTGATTTTGGTACTTTCTGTGAACATAATGCTAAGTGGAGTTAAATGAAATAATCTCTTGCCCATGAAGCATACCACGGGTCCCTTAGAAAGATGATCTTTACAGGTGGGGTATGGAGTTCTTATTAATGATATTTGTGGACAAAGTCTGTCATCAGCTCAAAGGTTCAGAGGGCTGACAGCTTAGTGGTTTAGGGGATGTTGATGAAATGAATTGAGTGGCAAAAGATATCTGGATGATAGAATAAAACTGGGATGTAGGGAGACCACTGCACTCCAGGAAATTCTTTAAGTCTCCACTTAGTTATCCAGATCCTCAAAGTGAACACAAAGCTTCGGTTTCAAATTGAATACATTTTCCATCTATGGATTGGCTTGTTTTGTTCAGTTTTACTTTGAGTGTTTGAGGTTGTCTTTTCGACGTAACAGCTAAACCCACGGCTTCCTTTCTCGTAAAACCAAAACAAAAAGGCTTTCTACTCAGATGCTCTCTGTGTGAGCTAAAATGTAGTACATATCTGGGATCAAAGGTGTCTATATAAAGTCCTTGAATCTGTGTGGGTTCAAACACATTTCAAAGGTTCAGGATCCCGAAAGGTTTCGCTCTGCTTCCTGAAGACCCAACTCAGCTCCCATATGGCTATGGCTTGCCTTGGGCTCCGGAGGCACCAGGCTTGGCTGCAGCTGTTTCCCAAGACCTGGCCCTGCTCTGCCCTCTTTTCTCTTCTCTTCCTGCCTGCCTTCTGTAAAGGTAAGTGGAGTCTTGGAACATGAAGACAGAGGAAGTGTTTCTCTCACCTGCATTGCATTTCTTTCAGCACTCAAGGGCAGGGATTTCTAGCAAAGCCAGAAGTTCAAGGTAAGCCTCCAATCCCCTGGCTTGGATGGCTCTGTATTCCAAGGCAAGCAGGGCACAGCTAACAGCACCGAATAAGCAGAGGTATAGCTCATAGCAGAGTGCCAGGTTTCTGGCAGGGGCTTAGTGAACATATGTGAGTGGTAGGAGAGAGACATGAGCAATTTCAGACATATCTATAACATTTTGGAAGAAAATACTGTAAAAAAATGATTTAAGCAGGAAAAGACATTGTGCAGTCCTGAATATGTATGAGCTTCTTATTAGGGTAAGCCCAAGATTTCCCTCTTTAAAAAACTGATTTAATCAAATTGTGGAATTCTTTTCTATACAATTCAAGGCTTTGAGGTGTGCTCATTCATTAATTCTATAAACTAGTTGGCTAACTTGTTTAAAACCTCAGCAAGTCATGGGAAGAATGGAAGAATGCCTTCTTTTTTTTTTTTTTTTTGGTACCGTGCATCGAACTCAGTCGGGTCCTTGTGTTTGTGTGCAGCAGGCGGCGAAACCACTGAGCTAAATCCCTGGCCCCAAGAATGCCTTCTTTATTCCATTCAAAGTTTTAAGCTCCTCTTAATCCTATAAACTAGTTAGCTAATTATTAAGAAAATGAAAGAGTCGAAAACTGAAGAAAGAAAAAAAGTAGGAAAAGAAGAAAGACAAGAAAAGAAATAAAGAAAGAAACCATCAGTGTGTATAGCATAAGACTTACATGTGGATTTTGGATGCAGACCCTGTTTTCAAATGAAATAAAGCTCTATATAGACTGATACCAGGTTTGTTGGACGGCTTAAAATGATGAGTACTTCTGCTGAATCTCAATCTTATCCCTCTTGTGAGTTAGAAAAGCATGTGGTTTATATGAACTATGTGCTCAAGAGATATTTAATTTAGTTTTTGCTGGAAAAGAAATATTTACATATATTTTCTTATTTTACATACTTTGAACAAAATATTAGTACCTTTAGAAGTATTCCAGTTTCTTTCTTAGGGCTTTATCTCAACCAGTAACTAGGATCTTCCCATGGTGGATATTAAAAAATTAAGTGTGACTGGATTTAGTGGTGATAAAGTGGAGCTCACCTGGGGTAGAGGGCAGTAAGCTTGGTTTTCCTTAAACTCAGAGTCAATACAATAAATATAGAGCACTCATTTGGGCAGGAAACCACTCTTCATTCCTAGGAGTTTGTGAGACACAGGTAGAAGAGAGGGCAGTCTGATTAGCACACACAGGTTTTTAATAGGGTAGAGCTTGCTTTAACAGCACAGTGGATTTGCTATAGGGCATCTCTATGACAGGAAGAAATGAAGGTTGAGAAAGTCACTATACTGTCTCACTAGCTAGAGCTACTGGAATAACCATGACAATGACTCCTGACATACGTTCTCTCTTTTGAGGACAGCTGTTGTCCAGTACAGGCGGACAGAGGAAGGAACTATTGTCTCCAATATCGGATGATTTAGAGGTAGGATAGGTGTCTTGGAATCTCAATGATAGATCCAAGACATTGAATGTTAGTTATCACATTTGTTTTTATAATCAGTGCATCACTTGCAAGATTCAGAGAGGGATGATGTTAGTTACAAAAAGATCATGAGATAAAGCTGCTAAGTTTTAGATGATTTAAGATGCTTTGCATGGAAAGCTGGCCTCCCTTATCTTGTAGGAGCCAGAGGGAAAAGAAAGAACAAAGAAGCACGAGAGCATTCAAGTGACAGAGAGAGAGAGGAAGGAAGAGGTGGTGGGGATGGCAGGGGAACCCACAAAGTTAATAGTAGGGTTGCCTCAGCCCAGAGAGGAAGAGACCAGGTGCCCTTGGTTCCATGGCTTCCCTATTTATGAGCATCTGCTGCTCTACAACAGTAGTGCCAGGGGAGGGGTGGCAGGGCCCTGCTGCTCCTGGGTGATAGAGGTACAGGGTCAGTTAGACAAGGAGGCAGAATTTTTTGAGGCATGGGTTGAGATATTAGGCAAGACACTGTACTGAAACTCCTGAATTTCCCCTAGTACTCATTACAGTACCTGAATGATGTAGTTTTATTACAGCTGTATAATACCAGAGTTGGTAGGCACTTTGATATCATATGATCTAAACCCCTTAACTTTATGTGGGAAAAATGAGGGGAAGAGCAACTTGCTAAAATGACCTATTTCACGATAGAGCCACATCTTTTACTTGTCACATTTGTGTGTTTCCTGCCTTAACTGTCTTTTAAGAAACTATTTCCCAGCAAGGAAACATTCTGATGGAGAGTAACTGGCAGAGAGCTGAGAGATGTAGGAGACTCTAGGATGGGTGAAGAGGGAAGGGAAATGGTGGATTTGCTGGAGGGGGCCCTTTTAGGGCTTGGAGGTGAGGCTGGAGGATTCATCAGAGATAAACATTCCTGGGCCAGAAGTGTTGCCTGGGCCTGGCATGGACTTGCACTTGCTCACTGGGTTCCCTCTTTCTTTTCCATGCCAGCGATGCACGTGGCCCAGCCTGCAGTGGTGCTGGCCAGCAGCCGGGGTGTTGCCAGCTTTGAGTGTGAGTATGACTCTTTGCACGATGCCAATGAGGTCCGGGTGACTGTGCTGCGGCAGGCAGCCAGCCAGACCACTGAAGTCTGTGCGGCAACCTACATGGCAGAGAGGGAGCTGTCTTTCTTAGAAGACTCTGCCTGCACTGGTACCTCCAGCGGGAGCAAAGTGAACCTCACCATCCAAGGGCTGCGGGCTGTGGACACCGGGCTCTACATCTGCAAAGTGGAGCTCATGTACCCACCACCATACTTCGTGGGCATGGGCAACGGGACCCAGATTTATGTCATTGGTGAGCAAAGCCATTCCACTAAGCTGACACCTTTTGTGTCGCTGTCTTCTTTGTATGAAAATAATTTGGTTCCTTTATTTAATTAATTAATTAATTAATTAATTTATTTATTTATTTTTGGTTCCTTTATTTTAGATGACTCATTTGTAGGTCTGTGGAAAGGCTCCTTCAGAGTTGTCTATCATGGAGTAGCCTTGCTTTATGGGCAGTGACATAAATAGCATTCTGATTACAAAAGGAAAGGAGTTGGGGAAGGTGTTTATTTCTGCTGCCAGGTACTTGCTCTGTGACAACCACCATTAAGTTTGCCTTGTACCTTTAATATAACACTCTGGGGCAGTTGTCTCAAAGAGCCAGGCTTTTCCTGGATGACCAATGCAACTTAGGGCTGGGCAGCCAGGTCTGGAAGCTCTACCTTGTTTACTCACCAATAAGGGAAGTGGGCCCTAATGTTGAAACCAGTCTCAGGGAGGCTCTGTTGTGTTTCCTCTACAGACCCAGAACCATGCCCAGATTCTGACTTCCTCCTCTGGATCCTTGCAGCAGTCAGTTCAGGGCTGTTTTTTTACAGCTTCCTCATCACAGCTATTTCTTTGAGCAAAATGGTGAGTGTGTTGCCAACAGGGTGCCAAGTTTGGTGGGGATGTATTCAGTCATTCAGATCCACTAACCAAATCACCATGTCCGGGTTAATTTTGGGAGATGAAGCGATCCATAAAGAGGAGGAAGGACAGTGGCAAAGAACACACTAGAGCCCTGAACACTGGCCTTTAGGGTTTCAGGATGACTAATATGGGCATGAGCATTTTTGACATTGAATGTTTGTGTGCTTCTGAACAGGGTTTCAGTTTGAGTAACTGAACAATATGGGGCTGCTGTTTTGTTCTGCACCTTCATGACAGCTATATTTAAGTTCATCATCCAAAATACAAGATTAGTTGGGCAAAATGCTGCTAATAAGGACCACTGGGATGGAGTTTTATTCTTCTCCTAAATGTTCCTCTCCTTCATGTGAAAACCATCTCTTGGGGCCACCCTGTGCCTTCCTTATCTAAGCTGTAGCTACCCAGGGACTCCCTGTCCCTATTTTTCAGTCTCCTTGATGGGGACACCTTTCTTCCAGCCCAGTAATGAAAGTCCCTTTCCATCTACTATAGTTGTTGGTGGTAAAAGAGAAAGAGGTACAGAATCAGGCCTCTTAAAAATCCCGGTGAGCACCCTGTGCCTACATCACAAACTACTCTCTCCTTTCTTCTTTCTTCTCCTTTCTCATCTTCCCTACCACTTTCCTCCTCCTCCTGCTCCTCCTCCTCCTTCTCCTCCTCCTCCTCCTCCTCCCTGTCACTCTCTCCTCCAGTTTCTCTCCTCTCTCTTCTTCCTCGGTCTCTCTCTCTCTACACACACACACACACACACACACACACACACACACACACACACACACACCACAACTGAAAGAACCTACACTCAACTGACAGTGATGTTGTGTTGCTGTGTGTTCTTCCTACCTCATTTGCTATAGATGGCCACACAGACTAGCAGACTAGACCTCAGTTTACTGAGGTAATAAAGACTGGGAGCTAATGCAGACAGAAAAATAGTGATAAAAACCATGTGAAGAATGGAGACAAGAAATACAGCTCTCAGAGAAGATAACTATTAAGCTTCTTCCTCCACAGACAAGAGCGGGTCAATTTTGATGGCATTCTGGGTGTTGTGTTTTTTCAAAGTCTTTCTTTCTATCTTCCAGTCAGGGAAAATTGTTAGTATATTACATCCAAATCACTGAATTTCTTATCTAAAATGAATTTTAATGGTAGAATCAAGAAAATCTCCTGGAGTTTATAATTCTGTATGTTCTGAACATGTACTTTCTGTGGGGCAGGGACCCAAGATTTGCTGAATCTAATTATGGCTAGATGTATATATGTATTGTGTAGCTTTTATATTCTTTGGTAGTGATTACTGTTTCTTTTTATGTTTTCCAGCTAAAGAAAAGAAGCCCTCTTACAACAGGGGTTTATGTGAAAATGCCCCCAACAGAGCCTGAATGTGAAAAGCAATTCCAGCCTTATTTTATTCCTATCAATTGAGAGACCATTGTGAAGAAGAAAGAACATATTTCAATTTCTAAGAGCTGAGGCAATTCTAACTGTTTTTTACCTCTCCAGTTATTTTGTTTGTTTGTGTATTTTGGGGGGAATTCATCTCTCTTTAATATAAACTGGGAGCAGAACTCAAATTAAGCACATTACAATTTAAAGAAGAGGAGCAGGAAAGTAGAATGACAGTGTTTCTGTCACATCAAATCCAATTTTAGTAGAAGATCACTTGGGAGCAATAGAAGGAGGCAGCATTAGTAGCCAGGGTCAAGGAAATAAGTCTGGGAATGACATAATCCAAAGAAAGGGAAGGAAGGGAGTGGGGAGAGGACTACCATACACACCTTATATTTTTACCTGTGAGATGTTTATAGCTGAAGCGATCTTTTACATTTTATGCTGTATTATTTTTCTTACCATATGTATAATTATATGAAGATTTAAAAAATATTCACATGGCTATGTTTTAGTCAGTGATTCCAGAGGTTGTATTGTACCAATATGCATTTAATAGTATTATGCACTGGAGTCACATGTTCTTTTGTGTGTTTGCTGAGGATTGAATATAAACACTATGTGGCAGTGTTTTCCCACCATCGCTTCTGGGGAAGTTTAGTGGACGAGCTCAGGACACTAATATGCCAGGGAGAATGCAAGGTCCTCCCATGACTGGTTTGGAAACAGGATGAGGTTGTACCAGTACTCAGTTATTCTGAATTGGTGTTAACATGAGCTTTGGGCCTGTACAAAAGCTCCTTTCAATGATCTCCAAGGAAGCTGAAGCTGGGGTATCTGTGCTAACTTGACAGAACACTGTCAAGACAATGACTCACTTCAGGAGACCTGTAGGGATGACTTCCCAGAAGCTCCAGTCCCATGGGCCAAATTCCTTATACACATGGCTAATGCCACAGATGGAAGGCGCAGCAGGTGCCAGAATGGAGTGCATACATTTTTCCAAAAACGAACACTGTTGGTGTTTTTTAACTCAATATTTTCTATGAAAATGAAAACAAATGTATAATATTTTAAATTAAATAAAAGTCATTGGTAGTTGTTTTCTGGAGTTGTCTTTATCATGCTTGAATTGTAGTGTTTGAGTTTGGGTTTGATTGATTTATTTAGCAATTAGTGGAGTCTCTAATATGGACATACTGCAGCCAAATTGGAGAGACACAAAAGGGCAAATGGTGTTTTGTGAGGCAGCTATGTACCAGACCATTACTTTCTTTTCTTTTTTTTTTTTGGTACTGGGAATCGAACTTGGGTCCTTGCCCTTGCGCAGCAGGCGGCGAAACCACTGAGCTAAATCCCCGGCCCCTAGACCATTACTTTGAAGCCCTTCTTGCAGGGAATTCATCCTCTTACCTTTTGATTTCTTCTACTTGAGATATAATGTGGGTTAACATAGACACAGCAGTTCTTTAAAAATCACACGGTGTATTTTGCAACCCAAATCCTTCACCTTGTCTTTCTTACCCACAGCTTTTTCAGCTTGTTGCACACAATTACAGTTGCCATGACAACACTAGTGTTGTCAGCGATGCCCTTTGCAGCCATTTTGATTTATCTTCATGGTAAATGGAGCTTTTTCCTGTGCTTTACAAATAAACTATGTTGCAAATGTTTTTCAATATTGATGTCAACTGGCAAGACCTAGGCCTGGCCCACTGAGGTCTCTCTAATTCTTGGTTAACAAATGTGTGTCCTCAGCCACTTAAGATTTCTTATTCTTGACCTCCACGTCCTGCTGTTGTGCAATGATTCTCAGTGTGGTCATGGACCACCTGTAACTGAATACACTGGATTCTTTATTAAAAACACGGATTCAAGAGCTTACTCCTAGATGCACTGATTTACAATCTTTTGCTGTTGTGTTCAGAACTTTGCATTTCTGAGAAATTCTCTATTGCTTCTTATTACCCACCAAGTTTTTTTTTTTTTTGGTACCAGGGATTGAACTCGGGACCTTGTGCTTGCACGGCAGGTGCCGGAACCACTAAGCTAAATCCCCAGCCCTACCCACCAAGTTTTGAGAATTATTGCTTAGGCAGATTTCTCTATCTCTCTCTCTATTTCCATCTCTCTGCCTCTCCATTTCTCCTCTTTTATCTTTCCTCTGTGTCTCCATTTCTATCCTTCTTGCTGGATTTTGCCCTTCCCTCCCTCTCTCCCTTCTTCCTTCCTCCCTCCCTCTTCCCATCCACTCTCTCCTTCCTTCCTTCCTTTCTTTCTTCCTTCCTTCCTTCCTTCCTTCTCCCAAATGTGACAGTACCATAGTAAACATTTCATAAAGGTTTCTTAAATACAAATGAATAGATTTTTGAAAACAGAGTTATGATTGTTACTTCAAAGAGTCCCTACTGTGTGGAAGATTATGCTTCTTACTCTCAGCATTAGTTTGGCAGCCATTTGAAACATACAATGTAGGAGGCCCAGTGAACAGCATGATATCATTTCTAATACTCCAAATATCTTTATAGAGAGATCATTTTGTTCCATAGTTGGTGGTAGATCTGAATGACAGAGAGAGTCTTTTGAGGGACTCACAAGTACCTTTCAGACTATTAAATAATGGATTACTTTACATAAGTTTAGTACATCCTCCACTATCACCTGAAATTCTATCACTTGTTACTTAGGGTAAGCATTTCCTTCTTTGGTCTAAGTCTTGTAAAAATAAAATACTCCTTAACTCAAAGAAGTTTTCCCTACAGCAGAGAACTGAACAAAAAAAAGACCGTGACCTAGTGTTTCATTGAAAAATAAGAATACAACTATGAGGGTGGGTACCAAATGAAAGCTTTTCCTAATCTTCATTTTGTTTATGAGGGCAGAGCCATTGCCTGAAATTCTTAGGGAGGTGCACTCATCCAAATTACAGGACCACTCCCTCATGGAATTCCAAACTTCATTACCATTGCCATCTCTAGGAACAGGGTCTAGAGAAGCCCAAAGACTCCATGCATCTAAATACAGCTTGGTCCGCCATTTGGGGGAACCTGGGCCATAACCCTCTTCCCTGGAACCACTTATCCTAGGCATGAATGTGGATGGCAGGGAAGCAGGATAGAGCTACAGGGGCTGTAGGTCAGCTTCTCTTACATACCTCAACACATACCTCTGCTCATCTCTCTTCTTCCAACATTTCTGCCACTTCAATTTTCCCTCCTTTTTTCACCTCCCAATGTCTTATTCCACTCTTCTCATATCCATCAAGACTGATGTCAAGTTTTGTCTTTTCCGTCAGCAAATCTGATGGATTTTCACATGGATTTCTCTTCTGTTTCACAGCTATCCTTGGTTTCATCTCTAATAATTTCAAGTATGCATGTCTTTTCTGCCTTGTTTGACTGGGAGCACCTACAAGACAGGGTTCATCACAACTTTAGGTGTATAACAGATGCCAAAATAAATGGACCGAAGAGTTAAGAGCCTAAGATATCTGGGTCTATGGGAAGGTCCACTGTCTTCTACGTGATGCTTGTATTTTCTTAAGTGGCTTCAGCCTGATATCTTTCCCATTTGATCAGTAGAACCCTCTGTAGGTCAACTCATCTTAAACCTGGAATGTGAGCTCCGGCTGGCTACTCTAACTCATACACCTACTTCTTTCTCAAAATATACTTTCAATCTTGTGGGGTGTGTGTGTGTGTGTGTGTGTGTGTGTGTGAGATTCATTTTTATTCACTCTCTCACCCTCTTTTGAACTATGGGTGGTTGCTAAAACCGAGTATATTTTCATACCCAGGATGAGCCTTTTTCTACATCCACTGTTGATACACATGTAATTCAACTCAATGGGGACTGAACTTGCAAAATATCCATGTCTTTTGTTAAGTAGAGCAAAGCCAGTTGAGATGTTTAAGAATTTCTAAATTCAAATTATTATTTCAGAAGGTCCAAAAGGACTGGAAAAAAATGGATCTCTCTGTAAAGTTATTCTTCCTATCACCTTACCTCTCCTTCACACTTGGTTAGAGTCATGACTGTCTCCTTAGAGACCTTGTTTACTGTACACATTTTTTTCATGTTTCAGGCCAACTTTCCTCTGCTAGGTCCAGAAGTATGATGCATGTTGTTGATGGAGAGGGAGGAAAGTTTCTTCCTTTCCTCTTTTATATTTTATTAGTTATATAGCTGCAATAGAAGTTGGTGGGTTTCCCAGATTTAGCCAAAAACTCCACAAGACACAAAATACAAAACAAAACCTCATGTACTTAGTATTTGGTGCTGACTCCCTGTCATTGGGAAAGTTTATGCTTCTAAAGCAATAAGAACAAAAAGTGTGCTGGACACCCTTCATTAGAAGTCTCTGGGAAAAAACAGTTTGCACCTGTCACTCCTGTTTGAACTTCGACAGAATCTCTAGTGTCTACTCTTGGACACACTGGGATGGATGATCTGATACTGAGAGTTAGGCAGCTATTTACCTTCTAAGCACTTTTAAAGAAGCCAATCCACCCTGCTGTATATGATAAGGAGTTTGGCATTCAGACTCTCCTTGGTAATCTATGCTGTCATGAATACACTGTATTATAGATGTCCTTACATTTATTGTGCACAAACATCATCTGGAGCATTTAGAAAACTCCAGGGCCTCAGTTCTCAGTGTAAATAGTCTTCACATTTTAGAATTAAAAAAAAAAAGAATCAGAGACACTAGGAAACTTGTTCACGGTCACAGATCAGGGAAGGGTTTGAACCAGGCTGAGAAGGCATATTTCATCCAGTGCTGTATAGTTAGTAACACCAAATACTTCCTGTCCAGCAGTGTCCTTTTCAGTGGCTTCTGGAGCATCACAGCTGTCAACCCAGGATGCTGTCAGAAAACAATTTTCTTCTCACCTTACCCTAAATTTTCCAGTTAATCTTGGGGTGATGGTTACCAGTGTTGCTGGTCTGATGGTGGCTCCACCTTTTCTACCACTTTCTTGATCTGTTAGGACACTGGCAAGAGAAGCTCTGGTGACCCAGCCTGTCCCTAGTAA